AAAAACAAGAGTACAGCAAAATAAGCTGACTCCCTTGCTTGCATAAACAGGAGAAAAAGTCAAAGTCAAAACAAATGGCACCCACCTCCCTACCCAAAATAAATAAAGAAATCGTTAACTTGCAAATTGCAAGTAAGAGACAAAACAGATGAATTAAACTATACAATAAATCATGAAAATGAACACTTCTACCTTTGTGAATCTCAATCATCATAGAGTGGTCAAAAAGGGACGACCGAGAGAAAACTACTAGGCTACTATAAGTAGAACACCAACATAAGTTAGAGATACACAACACTCTCAACTTGTTCCAACAACACATCAGGTCTGGGGTTGGAGATAGGACCTCAAAGCCGCTGCACACAACCAAGCCACCACCAACACAGCTCTGATGATGGTTGCAGTTTAAATAGTCTCCTTCCCCTCCCAGCATCCAATCACAGCAGGGCATTGATTATTGGCCTCTAGGGGTGTAACAATATATCGTGTCACAATATATCGCAATACAAAAATGCAACAATATGTATCGTGGATAGTGACGATATGTATTGTGTTTAGTTCACCCAAAATAAAATTTACTATGCGAGAAAAAAATTCACGTTTACAGAGTTAGTGTCAGTACTAAATTAAACTACTACATATAATGCATAATAATGCACTGAGGGAATATTTGTGGGTCCTGAAATTGCCAAATGTTTTATGTTGCCAGTAAACCGTGGCCTACAATATTTTAAATACAACTAGTCAGAGTGAAAGCATGTTCGTCTAAAATAATTCTGTTTTCAGCTTCAGAATCATGAATATTGTTATTCTGGTGTCTCTATTGTCCTGTGCTTTGGGTTTCCAGCACCAAGTCCAAGACTATTCATTTACACACACGATGTAATATCAAATTTAGCATTTTAATCTTTAACCTTTTACCATATGTCTTGGAGTATCGCAATAATATCGTATTGTGAGTTCAGGATCGTGATATGTATCGAATGGTGACATGAGGGTATCGTTACACCCCTATTGGCCTCAGGTGGAAACCATTCTCCTACGAAGAGAGACAGGGAGAGAGAGAGAGAAAAGAACAGCACAGCTTGGGCACCCACAAACAAAACCTTACGGCTTTGGACGTAACACCCCCTTGAAGCCGGTTTACAGTGAATTTATAACAGCTAAGGAGGTTTTAGGCACTCCCCTCCACGTTGTGCCTAAAAATTTGCTCTTCTAAATTCACTGTAAACCACGGCTTTAAAGGGTTAGTTCACCCAAAAATGAAAATTATGTCATTAATGACTCCCAAGCCCGTAAGACCTCCGTTCATCTTCGGAACACAGTTTAAGATATTTTAGATTTAGTCCGAGAGTTTTCTGTCCCTCCATTGAAAATGTATGTACGGTATACTGTCCTTATCCAGAAAGGAAATAAAGACATCATCAAAGTAGTCCATGTGACATCAGTGGGTTAGATAGAATGTTTTGAAGCATCGAAAATACATTTTGGTCCAAAAATAACAAAAACTCCGACTTTATTCAGCATTGTATTCTCTTCCGGTTCTGTTGTGGATTCACGTTCACAGGTCCGCAGTGACGCCGCTGACGTAAGACGCTGCTGACGTGTGTCTGGTGCGTCCGTGTATTCGGGTTCAAATAAATATGGCTGGGCAAAAAAATGCAAGTCTTCCTCTGTGTCGAAATCCTTAGACATGTTTGCGAAGATGGTTTTGTTTACAGCGTGCGTCTCCCTCAGACTGTGAACGAAGCTCGGGCGCACCAGACACACGTCAGCAGCGTCTTACGTCAGCAGCGGCACTGAACGCGGATACACAACAGAACCGGAAGAGATGAACGGAGGTCTTACGGGCTTGGGACGACATGAGGGTGAGTCATTAATGACATAATCTTCATTTTTGGGTGAACTAACCCTTTAAGGGGTTTATTCCTTTATTACTGTGCCTCTGGGTCTAGCTGTTATGTGTTGCTTGGCAACCATTCTGCTAAAAATTGCTGAAGAATTGTTGAGTGGTAGAATTAATGCTTGGTAGAAATATTATTATTTATCGCTGTATGCTTATTTATGTAGTAACCATTTTATAAAAGCATTAAGCCCAGTGAAGCCGTGGTTTACAGTGATTTTAGACAGTTAAGCTTGATTTTGATTGACAGTCTGTGATTTCAAACTCTAAATATCAAGCATAAGGACTTTACTGCTCCCTACTGTCTGTCTGTACAGCTTGTATAACCTTCAAACTCAACTTTTTTTGTACTTTCTGGCGAGGCTTTGTCAAGCAGCATTCAAGGTAGAAAAGCTATTCAGTGTCAACTTTTTTAGTTGACATTGATTTGATATGTAATGTTTTTGACATATCTATCAAAAAAGGCATCTTATATAATGTGTATCTTAATCTATTTAATGTGTTTTTTTTTCTTCCAGGAATTATTAAAAGTGTTTTTTTTTTGTGATGAATTGGAGCTGTCTGCTCTCTAATCTCTAATCTCTTACACTGATCAAGTTGAACACACCTGGCTGTCTGAAATCACCCCCTAGCCTTAAATAGGGCACTATTTGAGGGTACAGCCATTTGGTGTCTGAAAACATAGTGGACGTTATTGAGTGCACTCATTGAATCCCATAATGCACCGCAATAAAGAGTGTACAACTGATGTTGTCCATCCATTTTCCTATCTGCTGGTACAGCGTAATATCATACAGGAATAAATGCCTTTTTAGTTTCCATGACAGAGTTCAAGATAAATCTTTGATTTACTGGAGCTGCCCGTTTGCTAAGTTTCAAATGATCGTTAAACAACAAGCACAAACTAAAACAAACAAAAGCGGCACGGCAGCCCTCCTAGTGTCCAAATTCACTCTCTCGTTTTTATTCACTCCTTCAAGTGGAGTAATGTAGGGAATAGTGAATGAGGGATTGGGGAGATTTCAAAAAAAGCCAGGACACATTGATTAAAATAATAATAATGAAATCCAACCAAATAATGTATAATAAACAATGCAATATTCCATAAAAAATTTACATAAATTGACGATTTGCATGTACCGGTATAGGCCTACTTTCAAAATAACAAATTATCCATTGTGACAGTAAAAATACGAAACAATTTATAATCTTACAAACATACCAAACTGTTGTTGGCTAACTGAACTGGTAAATGATGAATTATATAAAATTATAACATAAAACTTGTGTAACGTGGTCAAACTCAGAAACGAGGGAGAGCAGGATCCAAAAGCAGGGTATAGGCTATTTAACAAAGATAAAGGTATAATCTAAACTAAAAAAACATCAGGAAATCACAGAACATTAGGAACAGAACTGTGATCAGCAATGCATAGACATGAAGACCTGACAATGAACACAGGAAACACTGGGGTTACACACAGCGTAATAGACTATAAGACACACCTGGACACAATCAGGGAACTAATCAAGAAGAAAACTACAAAGGGACTACAAAATGTGGCACAGGAAACAGAACAGGGCAGAATGCCTCATAAACGTCAAAATAACAAAAACACAAGGTAGTCTACACAAACCAGTCAACATGAAACATTTCTGAAAATGTCTTGAGAAAAAGTTCAGCAAAAGAGGGACATCAGGTAAACTGCGACAAAAAAGTTGTATGATCAATTGTCCTTTAAATGTTAGGAGATAATTTATTTGTCTGACATCATCAGTGGAAGCATCAACAAAAGCTCATCTTAAACAAGTAATATGTCACACAATTTTATTGTGGGTTTTAAATCATCAAAAAGACCGTTAAAAAAAAAATCAAATAGACCGTTACAAAAGATACTGTTAAATACATGCTACTAAATATTTCCTAAAATCACTGTCCCACTTCAAGTTCAAGTGAAAAGCAGTGTTCGACTAATTAAAAACCTAACAGAAATTACATAAAATTTTGCTTCAAAACATTTTCATAGGGTAAGGGGTAAGTCGGGGGAAGGAGAATTGTTTCTCCTGACCATAGATGACACAATATCTCATCTCAGCACTTTTGATGCATGGCTATGCTACTTTTAATTTAGCTACTTTTAATATACACACACATATATATATATATATATATATATATATATATATATATATATATATATATATATATATATATATATATATATATATATATATAGGCCTATATTTAGATTTGTGAAGTAAAAGTTATAGTTTTTATTTTGAAGTAAAGATAAAATTAGACCCTTGGGGTAAGATGACTTATCCACCCACCCCCCAGAATTGGCACAGAAGGCCCCGAGTGGCATGCTGTTACTAGTGTTATTACTTTTTAAATGTAATAATTATTGTGGGGTTATTATTTAGTAGTTCCATGATTTAGATGTACATTTCAGACATCTTTGTTTTCACTAAAACCGATTAGTTGAGTGAAATCATTCAATTTGCATTAGTGCACTGACATATCTCCAATTAAAATATGAGCAATTAATATCCATATGCCTGTAGGCTATAAGTGATAGAATAATTTTACATTTCAGAAGAATCTCTTTTACTAGGATTATTTTTTTGTCTGTCATCATCAGTACAATTATTTACATTTGTACAGTTGTAGCAAATGTTTCAATTTACTTTTAACACATTGGCTGATGCATCATCACCCTGCACATGCTAAACGTCTATCTAAATAGGCCTATGTTACAATTTAAAAGTAAATTCACATTGTTCTTCAGGGGGCGTCTTCCCCTATTGTTATTGTGTTCACTTGTCCTCAATATTTTTTAAATTATAGTTTCGGACGGTACTTGATTCTGATTGGGTGGGGAAACAAACTTTTGTGTATTTGGACTTTTAATGTTTGGGTGGGGAAACAAACTTTTGTGTATTTGGACTTTTAACGTTGTTTTACCGTCCTAAATGGATATTTATCTATCTAAACGTTTCCCTTGACTTCATTTCCGTCTCCCCAGTATGTTTGTTGTTTTTCTCGATTGGTCGTTGGGTGGCGCGTTGCTCTCGGTTGCTCTGTGTGCGCAGAGCGTTTCGAGTGTTCGGGAAAGTGTCATCGGCACGCACAGCTCAACTCTTTACAGACCGACAAACTTTCACTGCCGGTACGAGCGCTTCACCGCTGCTGCCTCTCGGAACTCCATATCCCGACGCGAGTGAGCGAGACCCGCGACAGTCTGCTATGAGAAAATGTCCGTGAATGATGTATACGTGTTCCGGCCGTTCAAACTCATCGCTCTTCTCTGCGTGTTTCTCGCACTTTGCCTGGACATTGTCGCGCTGCTGAGCCCCGCGTGGGTGACGGCGGATGGATACGCGCTGTCGCTATGGGAGTCATGCAGGGAGATCGACACCGACTGGACCTGCATCTCCACCCTCAAGTCTGGTCAGTGCCCTTACCAATGTTTTCAAGGAGACAAATGCATGCTGTTATAAATGAATATGGGGATTGTAGCCATTATAACTAGTTATTAGCTATAACTATACGATTGTGTTGTTGGTGTGTTCAAGCTGTAAACACGATTTTACGCCCAAGAGTCCGTAGACAAACAAAAAATAAATAAATAAACAAACTTCGAATGTACCAATTATTGATTGATTGTTGGCAATTGACGTCACACATCGCATTTTATTATAGCCATGATTTGCTTTGTTTGTCTGCACCTGAACACTTAACCATAGAGATGGTTAAAATTAGCGGAAAAAATTGAAGCTGAGAAAACATCAAAGCCCAAGTCTCCAAATGTGTCCAAAACAAGCCCATATGGTGATGATCTGCCGTTTCACTTGAACATAACAACACTGTCACAATTTGATATGAGAAATGTGCGGAATTTACGGTGGTGCACGTCACAGATGACTTGATCAAACAATGGGTCATTGCTAGTCGACTCAGTTTGTCTATTATTTTAAACACCTGGCGGCAGTAGGCTAGATCATTTGCTTTTTTATTATCTTGAGCCCAAAATCAACTCCTAATCGAGCTCAACAATAATCTGGAAAAGACAGATGTTCAGGCATCTCTTACACCCTTCTGTTGCTCTTCATGTTGATGAGCAATTCTTCACCATCTGGGAGGTTTCGCGTCGACTCTCGTGGGCTTTGTGATGGGGTGGGCGTGTTCCTCACCATTGTTGTCTAGCTGGCAGGAATGTCTTTGTTTTCATGCTTTTTGGGGGGACGTTTTTTGTAAACCAAATACAGCATGATGTGCTAGCGTTCAATGCATTAGTCCATTGAAGTATAAAAAGGAATGCGATTTTCTGATCATTCCCCCTAGTGTGGTTTCAAAACTATGACCTTTTTGGTCACCGTGATTTTTCCAAGACATGTTCCTGTATCAACATATTTTGTTGATCCTGGAACAACATTCCTGTATGAAACTTTAGTCATAACCATATCCCTACCCCGTTATCCCTAAAATCAAAGGGGAAATGATTGGTGAATAACACTGATGTAGAAGCACCTAACCCTGGTTGTAAGCCTAAACCTGACATAAACTTTAAACTTGTCCCTCAAATCTGATTGGTTGATTGGAATGTTGTTCCCGGATCAATAAAGTTGTTGATCCAGGAACATGTTGTAGTTTGGTAACACAAAAGGAGAAATTTTGATCTCTTTTCCATGTATTTACAATGAATAGAATACAAGAACACCACAAACGTGTTTATTTGGACTTTTGTGGTATATTTTAAGTCTTTCGAAGACCAGACCATTATTTACTGAAGACCTTTACATTCTCCTTAGCAAGTTAATGAGAAAAGTAGTGTATGTGATTCGTGAAGGAAGTGTTCTTTTGAGTTCAATCCATTGTATCATTTTGTCCAGTTCATAAACCCGGTCTGAATAACTCATTCAGAAATCAGACTAATCTGGATCCAGTTCCTCGACTTAATAGTGGCTCACTGGAAGGGGATATAATCAGTTGGATAACAATGCAAATTTCAGTCTGTTCCTCACACAAAGCTATTGAATGTCTTTAGGAAACTTTGCAGGAATATAATGCATGAGTCATAGACCACTTTTATACTTTTATGGTGCTGCTGCATCCTTAGTAATGTTCCCCATTCACTGTAATTGCAATGACATTGCACACAGTCTTCAGAATTTGAAACTGCTCATTGAAGAACAAAGTCATACAGATTTGGAATGACATCAGGATGCGTAAATGTCAGAATTTTCTTATTTCAGACCACTCACGTCACATCCAGGGTTCTAAATTAACACCCGCCAACCCGCCAAATGCGGGTTAAAATATTTTTTGGAGGGTGTTAATAAAAACTTACTAGCCAGTTTGGCCGGTGATCCATAAGGCTCTGTTCTCGGTCATTTATCCCTCTGGCAGTACTTCCTACATTTCCCATGAACACTGTGCCGTAATACTACGTGATGACGTTTCATACGCCTATTGGCTGCGCGCAGTTTGCAGTGAAGCATGCGCGAGAAATGATCATGGAAACGAACGGAGCGTCCGCCACCAGAAAACACAGGGAAGATGAAGAACGAGCCAGAGCAGGGAGCAGACTGAAAGAGGAGGGAGCTAGTAAAGTAGCTAAAGTAAAAAGTTAAGATTAAACTAAATGCAGCGGTGGTTGGGACAGACTTCTGGGTTTAAATGTAAATGTCGTTTAACGAGAGATACGTTATTTTTTTAAGTTTAAGGTTTTTGTCATTATTTCTGAACAAGCTTATACATAGGCAATATACACAACTAGCCTATATATCTTAAGGTTTTATTTTAGTTGAAAACATTAAACAATGTGTGTAAAAAAAAATATAAACAACAAAAGCATTTAAGCTCAAGCAGCGCAAACGGGGAAAAAACGCACAAAAAAACACAGAACGTACATACTCGAGTCAGCATATGATTATCGTGTTTATATTGTTTCACGTTCATGTTGACAAAAACAATAATATCCACATGCTCGAGTGAGAAAACGCGCTGCGCTGACACAGACGTTGCAGAGACGCGTGTGTGTGCAAAGTGAAGTAACAGCACTTTGCGTTTTCTGTATCCCCCAACGAAACTTAAAGGAAGTGGTTAATGCAGTGATGGACACAGTCTTCCTCAGTCGACTGCTGTTTCTTTGGATTTCATGTTATTTCTCATTGTGGTGGTGTCGGTGATATTATGATAACTCAGTTTAATTAATAAATAATTGATTAAACGTAATTCCATTTTGTAATAGGCTATCATTTGATAATCAAGTAATTCCAAACTTCGCGAGGCAGACAATGACATTATGTGATCAAATACAATCCACTTGTTAAATGCTCCACCCAGTGCATTTAATTATAACTGCGAAAAAATAAATAAAGAAAACAGTAAAATTCTAATAGTATTTTATTTTTTGAATAATAATTACAGATCGAAAATTCGAATATTCGTGCACATCCCTAATAGATAGATAGATAGATAGATAGATAGATAGATCCCAAACTTGAAATGAAATGTTTGCACTTTCTGTGTTGTATTGTACTTTTATATGTGTTTTTCATGCCAACAATGTTAATAAAATGCTCAAATGCATTCAGTAGCACTCATAATTTCACTTATTTTCACCGTAAAAAATTTGGCTAGTGGAAATCCTAAATGGCTGGTAACTTTAGAAAGTTACCAGCCACATTGGCTGGTGATCAAAAAAGTTAATTTAGAACCCTGGTCACATCGAGTGTCAATTTGCAGTGAACCAGATCTTAAATTGAATTCCATTCCAGACCACATCTGTGTTGAGAATACATTTGCAAGCCATATAGAAAAAAGCTTTAAGACACAGGGTTTTCTGTGCCGCTGTGCTGCAGTCTGGTCCCTGGCATGTCTTGAAACAGTTCTTTGGTGCATTCCCTCTCTCATGTTCTCTGTCTGGCTCTCTTGTTGTCCTTCTGGCATACACTGCTGGGAAAGATGGCAATCTCTGAAGAATCCCAGGGCAGTTTCTGATGATAATAAGCCTACAGCAGGCTCCTCACAGGGAATGGAGTGTGGAAGAGAACCCAGATGCTTTCTGTGGGATTATGGCTGCTATATTGATGTATAGTCCGTATTTCTCTCTGTCTTCATCATCTTTTATCATTAGCCTATCTCTCTGTACAGATCTGTCCTAAAGGGGAAGCCTGAGGGTACACTCTTAAACTTAGACTGGAAGGGGTTGTTGCGTGCTTTGTGGGACAGAGATAAGAGGATTTCTTGCGAGAGAGACACACACACACAGAGTTGATGCTTTTGTATTGTTTGTAACATCAAACCCGTTTGCAACCCATTTTAGTTTTGCAATTTGTGATTGAAACTTTATATTTGAAGGGTGAATAAAATGAATGCAGACACGATTTTAATGTTGGATTGTGAAATGTAACCATCACACACCAGAATAGAGCCAGACTAAGCCACATAAGTGCCGATTTGCTTGAACAATGCAATGACTAAATGGCTTATGTGGCTTTTGATGAACTGAATTGTGCCTAATTCAAGGATACACACCTGTTTCTTACTTTGTCTCCGTTGTGATTCATTCATGTAGGTCAGTTCATGTTCTCTTTTAACTTAGTGTGGTGACCCCTACCACTCAAACCCATGGGCACATTCACGAAACAGAATGCTCTGGAAAAAATAGAACAGAAATAGAACAGATGGGCAGTGGACTCCAAAAGCCTGAGACCACTACAAATGCTTGTAGTCTTGTAGACAATGACTTAAATACATCTCTTTTATGATAAGCATGTTTTAATGACTTGACTGTCAGGATAATATTTTTTTTTTTAAATGAAAACTTAAAAAGTAGTTTAGCATATCCTCATAAAAACATTTGAACTGTTTCACTGCTTATTCATTTTTTAAAAACTTACACCAACTAGGGTTTGGAATCTAAAATCGGAATTGTTAAAACTCAGACGATAACCAACCCTACCACCAACGTTTGTATGCTAAATCAGTCATGTCATACAAACAAAATCATGTGGTTTTATCATTCTAAGCCAATCAAATACCTTATAGGAAATTAACAGCATGGTAAAAAAAAAAGGTGTGTGTGAGAACGGTAAAATAGGAAAAATTATGCATGTAATTTCAAAGTGAAGGCTTAGAATAGTTAAAATCACTCTTTTTTTTCCTTCTTGGACAACCAACCAATCACAGTCTTCAAAAGATTGTGTCATACATAGCAACGGGGTCAACCCCGCCTCCTCACTAAGATGAAAGTTTTTGTCTTTTCCTTACTCAGAGTTGCTCTCAGATTGGTCCTGAATCGCTCTTAAGCTAAGACTCCTACGTAAAAGTTTTAAAGCTAAATTAAGAGTTTTCTGAGAGGATTCTTAGAATCTTTATGAATACGGGCCCTAATTTTTAGTCTCAGATTTTTGAAACCCTCTGTATGTGATTTAATTCTGAAG